AATCATTTTTATCGAAACTGACCTCATTTTTCCCTATGACACTATGGTCTTCATGACACACGTGAGTACCTTTTCGTCTATTTAATGTATGCTTAATTTAAAACAAGAACCCACATGACTTACAAAAAAATAATTAGAACTAATGAAAAAGCTTACTAAGTTGTTTCATTTCAGTAAAAAATTGGAAGGTCTTCACAAATAAAACATTTTCCTCGAATTTGTATGTAAGTTCATAATTATAATTATAAGCTTCTAATTTATATTAACGAGCTTGTTTCGAAGATTTATTAAACATATATGCCCAGATGTTTGATAATTATGCTGAAAACTACATCGACTAAACTACATAACGGAACATTGTCGTTTCCTGACAGTTAAGCAAGGTACGTTGTATGTTTACGCCATGGTTAATTTTGTCTGTGCTACTAACATTACAGGGAAAATGACGATACGATTGTGTTCCCACAAAATTAACCATTCTTGAATCTAATGAATGGCTAATTAACGAATATTTTCTACTGACGTTAAAAATACCCGCAGCATGTAACTCGTCGAGTGGGACGGTAATGAACCCATGACGAACTGATAAAACATGTCAACACTTTGTTCTAGACAACTATTTTTAATATTGTGTTTTACTAATCTGGGAGTAGGTATTTACCTAGGTAAGTGATGCCAAATATATTTGATACTCGGATATTAATATGCGAGTTTTAAGAAAATAAAATGGTTTTTCTAAGGACTATTTCTATTTTAACTAATGAGAGAATCATACCAAATGTAAGGCTTTGCTATTAAATTAAGTTTTTACTGAATGTATGTAGCGATGTGGCCTTTTAAAAGTTCATCCAGTGTAGACTATTTTTTGGTAGGTGCTGAAATACTTCCAAATAAAATGTTGGATATCATTCAACATAAACAAAATTGTACGATAACAAAACTCAAACAACCAGCAGTATTATTTTTAGCAACAAATATAATTGGTAAAGTAAATGCAACGATTTGCCCTATGTCTGATGTTATCATGTAACTTTTGGGCAGCAATTGCCCAACACTAATTATCGTACTACAGATCACCGGATACTGCAGTGATTCTAAAAATATGCGGTGACAAGCGTGAGGTGTCAAATGTCAAGGAATTGGACATAAAGCAACGGTCTATTTTTAAACAATTATTCAACAAATATTTGAGATAATGCCTTACACTTATTAATATCTGAACATATAGGAGGCGATACGAAACACGAAATATGAAAATTACATAGCGAGAAAATAAATTAATAGTTATATCGTTGTTTAATTCAAGAACTTTCTAAATTGGCACAAGTCTTAAGTTTATTTTGAGCAGGCAAACACAATCTAAGATTTATTTATTTAGTATTTTAAGTTTAATATTTTCTATTTAACACATGGTAGATTGTTTTTTTTCGACAATGCAAAATTACCTTATAACTAATTCCATAATAAGGATCTCCACCAAAATGAAAATTACCTACTACGTACTATTGAAGCTTTTAGTACAAAAAATTGAAAATCGATCCCTTCATTGTAAATTACGAGGGTGGTGTTGCTCAAAGGAACACACTGTATCTAGTAAAATAAAATTGAAACGCACGCATTTTTGTCAATTTCTTCCACGCGAAAATCGTAAGTCATTTACCAAAAAGTTTCAAATGTTCGTATAGTTTGCAAGGTATGAGAATTTTATCATTTTTAGTTTCCTACACTTGTTTCAATTTCTAAACGGTTCGAAGATGAGCCTGAGCTTTTAGTAAAACATTCGAATCGACATTACCACCTCATTCTCGCCATATGGTCGATACTTCAAGGCAAAGTATATCCACTTAACAATAAATTAGCAATAAATACTGCTTACATTAACGGGTATATGCAGCTCGAATCCATATACTGCATATCCACTGAACTTCGCTGCACACGAACAAATAAATTTTAACGCGAGCTCGTCTACGCGTTCATGACCCAAATGTAAACACTGGAGCAGTAAGGTTTGTTTCACACTCCGTTTTTATTGTAAACCAAAATATTTCTTTGTGTCGGTGCTCGGTGCGAATAAATATGCCATAGAGAGGCACCGCCTGCGTGTTTATTTTTGTAAAGTAAAATAAATCCTCCGCATAATTCGATATTTATTATGGCATTTATTTGTTTTCTCTGAAATAATATTTGTGTAACAAAATCCACAGGAAGCCATGCTTAAGAGTGATTGATGTTGTATATAAGCGCAAACCGTTAGAAAAGCCGGAACTGCCAATTTCTGACACAAAAAATTTAATGTTCAATCTTCTTGACAAACGAATAATTTAGAGAAGAGAATTTATATGGTTCAAGATATTTTTTCTTTGTACAAATCATACATTCAAATACATGATTTATATTAATATATACCTACGTCTATGTAAATTTTCATTTCCGCAAAAATAATTTAATTTTGTCGAAACTTGGTGAAAGTATACTTTTCTGTGTCTTAAATAACCACAAACTATTTAAAATAAAAAAATCAAGAAGTTTCCGGGATATTCATTATTTCCGATCTGATATGAAAAACTTTATTTTTCAAAGAAAAATTCTACTTAAAAAAATCATCGTACAGAGTTCTGCCGGTGATCATTTTTTTCGTTTTGACATACACTTTTTGGTGTAATAAAAAAAGCTGTAATCACAGTTCAAAAACATGCTCAAAAATGAAAAAAAATCAAAAATGACTTGCAACAATGAATTTTTCAGTAATTGTCAATAATTTCTTTAAATTAAAAAAAATCAAACACTGATTAACCATTCAATTATACGGAAAAAAAACTGTGTCTCATTGTTTGGCCCAAAACTTTATTTTTGTACAGTATTGCTATAAATCGAATTCCAAATGCACATAAAATATCTCTGGATGATTTGAGATTTCAGCAATACAAAGTATTGTTTTATTTTTTTCTGGCTTTATTTGAAAACGAAAATAAATTGCATATTTAAATTGCCACTTTTTTCGCTCTATCCAATGGCGTCAACATTTTTGCAATCCGACATTTCGTCTTTGAGGGGCCATCATCAAGTTATTTTTTTAAATACGGCGCTGCTGTTTTCATGTTAAAATCTAGACATTTTTAATTCTGAATTAGATGATATTACTATTGTAATCGATTAAAAAGGTATTTAGCGTGTTTTTGCTATCATTTAAAATTTTGCGTTATTACGGTTCTGAACGCTTTCAAAATGTTTATTGGATGAAGTCATAACAGTATAAAAGTCAATACCGCAGAAAATATCCAACAAATTTTTTTTACTATGTATTAGCAATATCTACTAATTAGAAATAATAGAACATTTCATAAATTTTTTTATTGGGTACAACTTTTTAAATTATTGATTAAAAAAAGACAGAAAGGTATACTTTCACCATTTTTCTCGGAAATTTTGGGGTTATCTTAGAAAGTGACTTCTACAAAAGTTGTAAATTTTTGCATGATCTACAACTTTTGTATTAGATACTTTTTTGTTTGACGTCAACTTTCGCCAGAAATCCCAATGATACAATTTTTCACAACTTTTCAACCCCCCAAATCAACCCTCCGCCACCCCTGCTCACGCATTTATTTTTTTTCGTTTATTATAAGCTCCTTTACCATTTCCACTTATAAAAGTAACAATTTTATTTTTTTCCCTCTAAATGAGTTACTTCGATCGGTCTATTATGAATGTACATATTTTTAGTTTTGACTAATGTTAAAATTATATTATTTAATTTATACTTACATTAAATACTACATATCCATCTTTTGCCCTACTTAGATATTTGAAATTTGCAGATATATTATTCAGAGTGCATTATACACATGTTCATTTTCTAGTTATACTCATTATTAATAGTAAGTAAACTTGATTACTTTGTCTAGCATACTATTTTCATCAAAAACTAACTGTCCACCTTTGAAATAATGGACCGCAAGGGCGCTGTATCAAAATAACACTTTGTTACCGAGCAACAAATTTTTAACCCACATTTAAATCTATATATCTCTCTAGTTATGGCATTTAGTTCCATCTACCATACGAAACTGTTTGCTTGGTCTTAGGATTTGCATTTTTCCTTAAGAAAAGGATTCGAGAATTCTCACCACGGCAATTGTAAAGATATAGAAATAACTGATATTTATTCAAACAGTTTAGCGATTAATTAGTTGTTATAGATGAAGTATGTCTAGTTGTTAAACATTTTAGTTCAAAATCTTCAGCCGTAAATTGTGTTTTCTGTGATGAAACAATAATATTTTTCACACATTTCACATTTCATTATAGGATAGGATAAAACTATGATTTACTGATAATATTTTGTCTTGGTTTGTTACTGTATGGGTCTTGATCATATACAGACCGTTTCATAAATAAAATCAAAGATCAACTTTTTAGATTAGACAAAAGATATTTTGTAAAAAAGTAAAACAAAGTGTGATAAACTAAAATAATTGCTTTACTTAACTTTACTCTTCTTGGTAAATTTAATGTGAGAAATATTGTAAATACCTTTTCGTTTTTGGTTTACATCGTCAAAATACTACTAGATACAAATACTACATAGATGTATTTCCTTGGATTATCAAACTTTAAATAAAATCGTAATTAATAAACTGGTAGTTTTAGTTTCTCACTGATATGAATAAATTTTAACGCTAGAAAAGAAGAGAAACCAGAACCCCATTGAATATAATGAAATTATTTTTAGAAAATATAATTTTCACCTCAAAATGTGCCGCTTAAATTTATTTTTTGTCATTTTGTAGAACATATTAAAAAAATTGTTTGTTAGTTTGTTCAACCTTATTCTGAAATAAGTTTTAAGGGACTGTGGATTAGAGCCGCTAAAATTTTACTTTAAAATCAGAACAAAGTTTAAAAAACACATGTACAAAAACAAGCTAAATAGAATGTTATTACCCATCTTTCAATAAACAGCATTTATAAATAATTTATAAGGTGGAGCTCTGACTTACCGGTAATCCCTGTAGAATATTCCAGTTTATATAATCCAATTTGGAAAGACGACAGCCTTACAACACAAATTAATGAGAGTAGTCAGTATTCGTTTTCGAAAACTAAGAATCACAAGCACAAAATCACGTGGATCTCACTCGAATTCAACGCGGATTTCAAATGTACTCTTCTCGGACAAGTTGCGCCAGCAACTGGTGTGTAAAACGTAAAGTCCGACAAAGTTGTGAGCTTTCCGCGCCGTTTGCACCACGAGTAAACAGTATACGGTGCGTCGGCTACGGCTATCAATAATCGATAGTAAGATACAGAGTGGAGAACTCCTTTGGCACGGAAACAAAAAGACAGAAAATTTCAAGACAATCTTAATTTGCAATTATATACTAGGTTATTTTGAAAAGTAGTAGAATATCGATAATAGCAACGCAGACCCCAATCCATAGAAAGAAAGATACTACCTTGATAGTTTTTTCTAATAATCATGCGTCTTTTTTTAAAGAAAATCTTTAAATTTGCATCTTTCACTCCAAAAGTCCTATACTGTCTTATTATTGAGTATTTCTCTTTATGGAAATGTACTCTTCCACATTTCTTCAACTTTCTGCTCTATTTAGAAATAGAAATTTCAAATATTGCAGCGTTCTCTCTACAACCCTAATCTCGTACGTTGGTTGAGAATGAAAAAAACTATTCAAATATTTGCTGATTTATGATATATCCCCAGATTTTAAGTCATGGACGTTGTTGAAGAAGTGGGAAATGAATGTGATGTGACATGTCATTTTTTTATATTGAAACATCAAAAGCAACGTTGATCTACTACTCCAATTTTTGATCTGTACAGAGTACAGTTTATTTTGGAAAATGTTCATGGTCTTTTCAGATGTTATAGGTAAGGTAGCACCTTAATGTACGTACAGTAAGATGTACACGGTTGAGAAAAGAATTGAAGTCGCTCTGAATCAGAGAATGCAGATGTGATCTCCTGGTAGAAGTGATGCCCAATGAATAAACCAAGAAGCAACACCAATTTGACAACGTTATATGCAACTCAAACCAGATCAAATCTAGGCTAGTATAGATGAGTTGGTAAGTTTAGAGTGAGTCAAATCGATAACCAGCCTTGATATCAACTTATGAGAATTATTGAGGCAACGAGAAAGCTGATGAGTTAGTTAAAGTAGGCTCTTACAACTATGTAATTAAGGTATTCTTTCTGATACGGTTGAAGGAAGGAAAATTGTGACGAGAAATTTCTATCCAGAAACAAGCGAAGAAGTTCTTAAAATGACCCTGGAAGGAATTATCAGCGTTCCTACTTAACAAAAGCTGTAAATCAATAAAAGTTGCCCTAAAACTTCTGACTGATTTGCAGACCCAAGAGATATCCAAATAATATTAGTTTGGTAGAAGACGAAAGTAGCTTGTGTAGGTTCTGTAGGAAGAAGGGGAGACTACAGCCACAGTAATGATGAGTGCATTGTGCGAATATGGAATCTTTGCAGTGAACTTGGACGTCAAAATGGTCAATGATCTCGCGTGTCATGGATCAATGACATAGTGGTCAATGGTCAATGGCCCCCGAAGGTTAAAGCTCAATGACTGCAAGAGTCTAAGTACATTGACTTTTGTCCTCTCCTTTTGACATTTCGAGGTATTTACAGGATACTTTTGAAGTATTTCCAGACGTTTTGAACTTTTCTAGGTGGTTCGATGTAATTTTGATGTACGTTGATACTGTTTACTTTAATTGCTCAAAAAATAGATCGGATCCTATTTAGAATACGTCAGAAAGAGATTTTTCTTTAAGATGAGAATTTTCTCCTTTTTCTGTTGATAACGATTTTGCCATTGTTCCTACGTCAAGATGTATTTTGAGAGAAAATTATTTAACACCCACTTCTTTTGACACGATTAACTGAAACATTATAATTGTAAGTAAAACAATAAGCAAAATAGGTTTTAAATATTAACCTGATGTCTGTAACATTTTGGCAAAATTTATTACGGTTAATATTGATGTTTCTCATATTCCACAAAAACGTTAATTTAAGACTTAAGTACATACAAAATGATTTACTTTTGTAACTATTGCAACAAACATATCTAAATATGTGACTAACACGAGATTAATCTTGTTGGGTCAACTAAAGCAGATCAGTTCAAAATTTTGTTGCTTAAAATTTACATCAAATATATTAAAAGCAAAATTAGGAGTAGTACATTTTAAAAAGTAACAGTACAGCGTGATTCTACCTCAACGTATCATTGCAAATACGTAAAAGAGTCGATATAACTTTCTATAATTTTTATCATTGTGTTTCCCTTTTTTTCTTAATTGTGAATAGTGTTATACTTCCGAATTTTCTCTACTTTAATAATAATAATAATTCCTTGCGTTTAGAAAAACATGACGTAGTTGTAATAATAATAATTTTCTCATTTGTAACATTGTTTTTAAGTTAGGTATTTTAAAAGTAAAATATATAAATGTGTCACGGCACGGTTACGTATAAATATATAAATAGAAATTACTACACGCCCTGTTCTATTGGTGCAAACGACAACTTTGTTTTGATTGAATCAAAAGCGGCACAGCCTGCCGGTCGAGTCGTGAGTACATACGTCGTGGCGCGAGGCCGAACTCACCAGGTAACTTGCCTCTTTGATGTTACTCACCTTCCATTAGTTCTGAAACAAAAAGAACGGGCTCCAAAGACGGCAGCCACCAGGAAAACAAAGCTCTCCGGCACGGAACTTCATAGTCGTTTAATATGCACGATTTCCCCAGGCCTTTTTTTCTAAGTTGAGTGGGAGAACATGGAACCTCCATTAACAGTTGAGTACAGCTAATTATTTTTTTCTCTCCGAGAAATAAGTGTTGAATCGAAACTTTGGTAAATATTGCCAGATGATGGGAAATGGCGGAGGTTCTGGTGTCAGCAGTACTCCACTTTGAAAGATTTTACATTTTTATTTTCACAAAAATAGAATATTTTAAAGAATATTTTCAATAAAGTGTACAAAATATCGCAATATTTCGTATACATAGAACTACCACAGATTTTTTTGATTTTACTAAACTTACCCAAAGATGCTTCGTTTAACCAATAGATGGTGTCAAAGTTGGACTTACTTGTAAATTTATGTAACGATTTTCGCGTAATTAATTATTTTATGTCTTCTTAAATGCATTTTCGGCACAAATGTCAATCAGTGATACTGAAAACATATTTGTTATTTTACTTATAGAATAAAGAGTATGTTATTGCCCATTTTGCCCAATAATTTCTCAAAAAAAACTTGTTAATTGGTGTAATTTACAATTTGTCTGTAAAGTATAATTTTTTACATTTATACATGTTTTTTAAATTTCCAATATGACAATACACTGTTTCTGTAAACGTCAGGGTAATTTTCCCGTATATATATTTTATTGTTTCTAAAAGAAATAAAAATTTTTGATGACTTCTTAAATAATTAATTACTAACTAGTTGTGAATACATTTTTTCACCTATGTATTAGACAGCGAAACTAATGAAAAATAATTTTGTGAAAGCAGATTGCTTTTATATAATAATGATGTTATTTTAAAGTCACCATATTTTGTTGATGTCACTGTGGATGCACCAAAGAGCAGTACCTGTGGCGTATGGTGTGAAAATTTGCTTTTTATTAACCTATCCTAAAAATCAACAGATTTGACAACAATGCTTAGCCCAGTTCCCAACTGTGCATTAGTATGAAAATGACTTAAAAATGTTTAAAAAAAATGTAACACTTGTTTATTTTTTTAGTATTGTAATAATAGGAATCAATATATATATTTTATTTTGTAATGAAAACTATCGTGGCTGCTTTGAATCAAGCCTCAGCTGTTCACACGGAATGCGGCAGTCAAGTGTTTATTTGCTCTCGAGATAATGTCATTTATGAGTACCAAAATGTAACCCGAGATGCCGAAAAGCCAAGGGTTTTCTTTGCGACAGTGGTGCCTGACCAGCGCCCGAATAAGGTTGATTATTGGTTGGTTGTGTGCTAGCTTGAATACATTTTGTTTAATTAATTGTGAATTTGTAACTAATATGCCATACTCGTTTATGTTTATGAAAACCTCAGGGCGCACCACGTGTTCCCGGTCTTATGGCTGTGGTTTTTTTGAAGTTGTAAGTTCTACGGTGTCTTACCGATTGACACATACTGGGTGGTGTTGAGGTAGGTGTCATAATATGACTCACACACCCGGTAGTTGGGATGCTAACTAGTTGACGTCCGGGGGAGCCTCGACTTATTTCAGGTGACACTAGCTAGTTGTTGAAGAAAGAATGATACATATTTGCTAATTAATATAGTGGAAACGTATGGAAGGATATACCTTGAATCCTAAAGTTAGGGGGAGTGTAACCTCCCGGTGAGTTACCTATTTATTTGTTTTTTGATTTAAAGACATTTAACTTTGTTATTTGTTTCATATACCTTCTTAATTTCTGGCGAATGACCCGGCTGTTGTCGAAATAAACTGCTTTGTGATGACCGATGTATACAAAGGTAACAATACTAACAATAACATTTATTTTACAAAAATTAATTTTTCACAACGAAATTTGAAAGAATACACGTGTTTCTAAAGGTCAAAGATAGCCTCCGTATAAATATGACCTCCGTTGAACGTTACACCCTGTATATGTATTTGTAAATTCACACGTCTCGCAGTTTTGTATTGTAATTTTACTTTTTTATTGCTACTACGAATATTTAAAAAATTGCTTTTTTAATATTATTTTCTCCCATTCTGTAAATTGTATTGATTATTATCTTTGATTATTATTATTCTTCTTTGAGGAATTAAATTATTTGTCACTGTAGATTTTATTACAAGCTTTTGAACAGTATAAACTATTTTTATTAAATACATCAATTTTTGATAATGATTAAGTTAATTATGTATCGAAAATGCGATGTTCCATATCTTTGTGACAAAATAAGAAATAAAGTTGCAAGGTTCGTGAAATATTCAACGTCAAATATCGTTCTCGACAATGGTCCTCTCATATTATCTTTCCCGATATTGTATTTCAAAAAGGCGGAATCAATCGTTAGTTAATATTAAACGAGAATAATGATTTATTCAAGTAAAAAAGACAAAATCATAACTTCTTATATAGAATAAATTAAGACGCAATTGAAAAAATTCTTTAAACGTAAAATATCAGTTGTTCACCTCT